TATTATTATTATTATTATTATTATTATTATTATTATTATTATTATTATTATTATTAAGTGATAGTAAGGATGAGTGTCATACACCCCTTGTTGGTTGTGTTTTGAAATGATTTTTTTTCACCATATTTCCACGGGTATTATCGTCATTTTGACTTGTTTTATAGAACGTCATAGATCTAGCTTGCTCCGAGAGCTCTAAATGTGAAACTACTTGTATTCGTAGAATCTTCCTAGTGTAGAGATACAATTGGAAAGAAAGGAATTCGAACAAGCTGGTTAGTTTTAAATCTTGAAATAATAATTAAAATAATAATAATAATAATATTAATAAGATCTAAATTAACATTTAATTTGAGTTAAACAATGGTTTTCAAGGTAATGCTAGTGCTGCATCATCATCATGGTATCTGAACCTTTTTACATAATAAAGATTAAACATTTAACATGTTTTAATGGGTATTAATGTTATCAAAACAATATATCCCAAGGGATACATGTGGGAAGGGTAGAAGTGGTAAAGATATGTCTCTCTCTCTCTCTCTCTTTCTCCATCTCTCTCTCTCCCTCTATATATATATATATATATATATATATATATATATATATATATATATATATATATATATATAAAATAAGTTTTAGTTTTATAACTTTTACTTACTTAGATTGTTATTTGTGGTGTTAAAGTTATGTTGATTTAGTGATAAGTAATGATACTAACTCATTTTTCTAGTGGAGTACCTATTGTAATAAGCAATGACACCCTAGCTAGGCTTGCTAAAATGGTTATGGCTATTAAAGTAGATAAGAAGAAGAGGTTAAAGAAGGTATGGCTATTCCAACTCCTTATGATGTCCTAAAATCATATTATGAGATGTCTTTCTTTCTGTTTTGCATCTTCATGAGTTAGCAACTAATTCAGATTGTTTATCAAGTCTAAATAAGAAACATACCTTATTTATACAACACTTTATCCAGATAAACATCATTACCCATTCAACCATACAGAAGTTCGAAGGGAAAAAAACCCTTGGTGGAAAGTGGTACTATTGGCTTTTTGGGACAAGTAACTGCATTTAAGCTTTTTCTTCCGTTTTTTTAAAATTTAAAGCTTTGATTTGCTCGCAAAGTTGCCACCTTTCACTAGTTCATTTCTTTTCTCTCTTTTGATATGTCAATAACCCTTATAGTGTGGTTCTGTTTCTTTACAATTTCCCACTTTACTTCATTACACACTTTCTTGTTTTGATCATTGCATCCTTTCTGTTTCTCTATGTGTACATCATCTAATACTCATGAAGCTTCTTGTTATTTTATCCACAATGATTTTAGCATATGGTTAGGTTAGCTGGCTTAGTCTATGACTTTATGTTGAATATTGACTGAAAATCAACTAATATTGGCTGCAAATTAGCTAATATCATTCTTGCTATGAAGTTTGGTAGAAAACAAAGAAACTTTACTTAAACAATTTCAATCACATATATGCAGAAACGCAACGTGTCTTTTGATGTCTTTATCTTTTAATGGAAGCATAGCCTAGAAATCTTAAAAGAAACTGACATAACCAATTGTACTAAACTTATAGCTATTCAAATCGATTCAAATGTAAAGCTTCTTTCAGATTGAGTGAGCCCTTATCAACCTCATATAAATATCATTTGCTTGTTTAGTGTATCGTACTGTTACTGTAAACATTGTTCATGGTTTATAAATTTTTTTTATAGACATAAGCTGTCACACCCCGAAAACCAAGGCATAATCATTGTCCGGGACGGACTCCATGTTGAGTATCAAATACAATGCACATAGTAATCAAAGTAAACAACCATTACATTACATATAGAAATTTACATTTGTTCAAAAGTAAAGTTGTACAGTGTTATACATATATATGAACAAAAACAAGACGTATCTTTGATGCACTCCGTCTTCGAAAAAAAGGATCATCGGGTACCTGTCTAATGCGGACTTGAGAATACAAGCAGTTTGAAAATCATCATAAAGCTGGTGAGTTCATAAGAGGTTTTTGTTTGTGAAAAATGTACGAGTTTCCTTTTGGTTTCTGAAAATGTTACGACCCAAGAAAATCTCATATTTTCTTAAAAGTAATTTTTGGTTAACTGTTAGGTTACACGGTTCTGGTTATGTTTAACTGTGATCCCAGGAAAATCCCATATTTTCCTAATGTGAAAGATGTATACTGAAAACCTGGTTACCCTTGTAAAGTACATGTTAGTTTACCCACCCGAAATGTAATGTAAAAGATGTACACTGAAAACGTATTAGTTTTAACACGTTTATAAAACTAATAAATACCAAGTAAACTAGTTACTTAACCCATTATTACTAAAATGTAAATCTCTATTATCCAAATTGCGAGTTCCATAACGATACAATAGACTAGATATGGCAATATGTAGTCCACATCCTTATGACTTTCGTCACCCTTGAACCTTTCGGTTCGGTTGTAGCTAGAAACCAGGTACGGGGTAGTCAGCCCCGTATAGATCTATACACTCAAGTCATGCTCCCTATCTAAGAGATTTTGGTTATGGGGGCAGTCCTCCACTCGCGTATCTCTGTGGAGTGTTCACCGAGGACGTGTCTCCAATTACTGGATTCACAAATTTACTAGTAATAATACTGAAAGATCAAATGACTATCCTCCACTCGCGTATCTTTGTGGAGTGTTACCGAGGAAAAAACCATGTTCAAATGTTATGCTTTTAACTGTTATATTGTGGGAAAACATTTGTGAAAATATAAATACAATAATTTATAATGTAATTCACAAATAACATGATAATGTGTTATGTAGGTTCAAACAGTTGTTTGTTATGACTGTCAGTGTTAAAAGCATATGTAATATGAAACACAATGTATATAAAACAAGTTTTGTGTACAAGTATTACTTGTACTTTGCTTGTATTCCCCCTGAAAACGATGAAAACATTGATGATGGGTAGGGTATGAACTCACCAGGCGAGAAAACGTGACGGTTTGGAGGCTATGTGTCGGTTCGGGACTTGATAACGCGCGAGGTTCCTATGTAATATGATATAGTATACAAATGTATCTAATTAGACTTTAAATCACTAATTAGATAAGATTACACACTCCAATACGCGAAAACACTTCAAATCAAGTGTTTGGAGTGACCCGGGTGACATCTACGGACGTATATGGATTGGATAATGATTTGGGACTTCAAGAGTAAACTCCTTAGGGAGTTTACGGCCCTAATACCATGCCTATAGGAGTTGACGGCCATGAACTAATGAATATAGGATTTTATAGTGCCAAATGGTCAATTAACACATATGAAGGGTTGCTATGAATTAATCTAAGGCATAGGAATAAGTTTTACCACCAAATGGACCATCAAAGGGAGTTTACGGCCCTAAAAAAGGAGTTTAAGGCCGTAAGATCCTATACCCCCTTGAATTGATGATTTAATGGCCTTAGACTAATCATATGTGATTCTAACAATTTATACAAGCCTTAGGATGAATTTTGGGCACCATTTGACTCATCTAAATGAGTTTACGGCCCTGGAACCTGTCCTTGGGGGATTATGGGCGTAAACTCTCAAATGAGGGGATTTCAGCATGTTTAAGGCCTCAAAAATAGTATTGGTTGATTCTAGGATTTATTCCAACGCTAATGGTGTGTTTAAATGGCTTTTAAACACTTAGATTTGAGTTTACTCTCCATGAATGATGAGTTTACAGCCCAAGCTTGTTATTGGGCAGTAAACTCATGTTTACTCCTCAAAAATCATGATTAAGGTGTTCCAAGTCCGAATTGATAAGCCATAAAGTCATATCTAAGGTCCAAAGTTGGTTTGGAATGGTTTAAAGGTTGAAAAATCCCTTAAATGTGTGTTTACGGTCCAAGCATGTTCTAGGACCGTGCACACATGAAAATGGTCCTAATTGATTGTTTGAACTCGGATTTGAAGCCTACAGGTGCTATACAATGAGTTAGGGAAGTTATCTTCATGAATTTGAGCCTTAAATTGGTGCTTTTGAACCCTGAATTTGGATTGAGGAGAGAGGTTAGAGAGAGAGTACTGAGAGAGAGCAAAAGCTTCAAATGGAAGCTTAGATCACTTTTGGTCGCACCCGATTGAGTTACCGTAATCCGATATGGTCGATTCTAAAATGTTTCCGATTACTAATATGAAGTGTTAATGTGAGTTCTAAACATGTTTAGACACTCATTAATTCATAATAGAAGTCCCATAATTATGACTTAATTTATTGACGTAACGAAAACGAATCGAAAACGATGAATATATTAACACGAAGGTTACAATAGATGGAACGAACTTCGGGTTGTCACATTATCCCCCGTTAGAGGGAATTTCGTCCCGAAATTCAGAATTAAGATAGAAATCATGGATCTGGAAAGAGATGCAGATACTTCTGTTTCATTGAGTCTTCACGCTCCCAAGTGAACTCCGGTCCCCGCATGGCATTCCAGCGAACCTTCACTATCGGGATGCAGCTTTGTTTCGTGTGTTTGATCTATTGATCCATGATTTTGATTGGATCCTCCACGAAGTTCAAGTTTTCGTTGATCTCAATCTCATCTAAAGGAATCACTAGGGTTTCATCAGATAGGCACTTCTTGAGATTTGAGACATGGAAGACGGGATGGATGTTACTGAGCTCATGAGGTAATCGAAGTTTATAGGCTACAACACCGATCCTGGCGAGGATCTCGAAGGGTA